TCACTTTCATTTTTTAAATAGTAATTAATAAACATTCGATACCATTACATTTTCCTTTGATTTAATTTTAAATAAATATTTAGAGTGCCCTGGTAGCACATAAACAATGCAATTTAACGGTTTTCTTAAAGTAGGAACGTTTAACCTGTGACGCCAGCGCTCTCCTTCCTTCTGCTCTGCGTAAACCTGACCTGATCACCTACTTGTGCGTAATCAAATGTCTATACGGGAAAAGATGGAAAAGCCATGAGGTTCACTTTTGCCTCAGACAGACTTATTGCTGTTTTATGATGTGGCTGAATCTGCGATCCACTGCCACGCGGGCTGGAATAACAAATGCTGCAGTTACATTGTGGTCAGGTTCATGAGGATTCACTGGCTGGAGCGGACCCGACTTTAATACGTCATCCCAAAATAGAAGCTAATATCTTAATTTGACCTGAAATGATGTTATAAAACCTCTTAAAAGTTTTTATCACGGAGGAGGCAGCGCTCATTTCTGTCTGCAGTCTGACGGCGCACCGGAGTTTGCGCAGCGTGCGCGCTTATTGAATCTGTGTGTGTGTGTGTGCGCGCGCGCGGCACAGCTCAGCTCCATGAGCCGCTCAAGTCACCGTGTCTCGTTATTGGCGCTATTTAAACCAATGTTGTAAAATTACTTCTGCCCAGCCTAGATGTGCTCACTTGTGCACCCGTGAGCCGTGGTTCCGCTGGAACGCGTCTGACCTCTGGCAGACGCACTCTGAACTTCAGATCTTCAGCGCGCTGTTAATAGCCTGAATGGGAATAAATTCTTGATTTATTTTGTTAAATCCACAATGTTCTGTGTGTGAGGTTTACAACGTCAGAACACCTGCATGAGACAGGGTGTTAATTACAATCTGCCAGAATGACTCACCACCTTCAGATTTCTCCAACACCGTTAAAAATGATCAAATACGGAACATATCGGCATGTGCAGGCCAGAGTGCTGAAGCTCGGCGCATTGTTATTGTGAAGCTTGGGCACATGTGGAGGACACACGCGCACGCGCGCAAAAATATACTTGTTTTCAATTACATTTATTGGGCCCACTTACTTTTTCTTTGGCCCACCCACAAATGAGTTTCTGGCTACGCTAATGGTGACATATGACAGACTTCTCTGAGCTCTGCAGCCATTACACGTTTTACCTCGCGCACCCCCTAGCGGCAGCTCGCGCACGCACCACACTTTGGGAATCCCTGCATTAGGGTCTTCTTTGTCCTTTAACACATAACACAGACATATAAGAACAAAGCACTTTTGTTTCAAACACAAAGATAAATTATAACAAACTTTGGATGTTATAAACTAGATAAAAAATTGTTGCTTTTATTATTCTCAATGCGTTCACTGTGCATGTGTACTCTCCCTGAAAGATTTTTTAAAACCAAGGCTATAAATTATTCACATTTGAGATGTTAAAATCTGCCACATAATGCATTCAAGTTTGTACAGAGGTATAAAACTCCTGATTCCAAAATCATGTTTTAGGTACTTATGAATGCTTAGAGCATACAGTATATGAATATGAAATACTTTGGCACTCATGGAAACTCATCAGAAGAAGCACATTTTCTTTCAGCACTGTTGTTAAAGACTGCTCCGTTTTTGCATAGCTCACCTCAAGAACATGCACCAAAGTCTCACTCGGATCTCGTGACCTCTTTGGAGGGGCAGAGGGGGATGGGAACAAGGATGGCAGCACACGTAGAATTTCAAGAGCTTGTTCAGCTGAACAGACAAAAAGGAAAAACTAGGAAAAACTCTTCCAAACTAGGGACTTTTCCATCTACATTATGAATCTAAATGCAGTTTTGAAAGTCATATAAAGGTGTGGCAAAGATGTTTAGTTTACAGTGTTTGGTAATTAAACTGGGGGCTTTGCCACTCCAACATTTAGTAGCTCACACAATCAAAATGCATTTGCCATAATCTTTTCTAAAGCCCTTACACACTAATAGTATTATTTGAAATATCCACAATTAAAAATTGGAAATGAAAAAACACAAGTAGAAATTATATAAATGTTTATTGCAGAACATCTTATTTAGCAGGCATTGTGTTAAAGTGCAACTTCATTTTAAATGTACAGTATTGTTCAAAACAAACGCAATGTGACTAAAAAAATTAAGCCAAAAAATCAAAATCATAGTTTTATTTACATTTTTCTTTCCGATTACATAATGACAGTCCATGTTATATCCTTAATCCCAGCATTAAGTTACATAAAATGGAAGAGAAGCTAAAATGTAAGCTGTACATAAAAAAAAATTGTGTTTCTGCACTTGTCATTACAAAATCAAATTAGTACTGTATAACCACATTTCTCAATGTGAATTTGCTTTCTCGTGAATCTGCAGGTTTAAGGGAGCCAAATTTAAGACTTTTTAAGACCGTTTTAAGGACCCGCGGATACCCTGTATCAGCTAAAAACACTTTCAGAGAAACGCTTCACATTTGCGTAACATTGTCGGCCAACTTCTGGGTGCAATACAAGTAGCCTGTGCTTTTATAACATACGCATTTTGCGATCTCATAACATTTCATCAGACATGTCAGAGTCACTGTCAGAGTTATCTGAAAAGCTTTGGAGGATGTTGCTCGTCTCTGCTTGCGTGAAAACTTTTAAGTAGCAGCTCCTTGCATGTGCCACAGCTTTTCTGGTGTTCTGCCTTTTCCTAAGAAGTAGGCTTTGAAGACCTTTTAACACCTCATCTGGTAGGCCCCACAGTGAAGTAGCAGTACCTGGCAAAAAAAGCATATTAGTAACCCTGTCATCAGTAATACCCATTTTCAGATTGTACTTAAGAACATACTTTTGAGAGCAGCATTTGAAACTTCCTCAGAAAGCTCCTTCAGGGAATCCATTTGACGCAGAAGGTACTTCCAGTGTTGGTTCTTCTCTGCCATGAGAATCTTCTTCTCCTCTTGCAGTCTTTTCACTGCCATGACAAGGTCAAAGGCTCTTCTTTTTGTCCTGAGATCAACGGAGCCTGCATTCAGTTAAAAGATACAAATTAAAATTAGGAACAAAAACAACTGAACTGAAATGTGTTTGTGCACTTAAGCCATTAGGGTTCAAACAATCTGTACAAGCCATGGCTAACTTTACAACATGCTCCTTGAAAATAGATTACCAACAGTTTTGTAAAGGAAGGTTTAAGGCACATCACCCAGTACTATTATTTGAAATCACTGGAAAAATATAGTTAAACAATATGGCACTCCTTAGTCTGACTGACTAGCAAACCTTTACAACCTGAAATCCTCTTTAAATCTAATTTAAAACCTCAGAAAAAATGTATACATAGGATTTTGAATAAAGAAATGTTGGACCTCAGAAAAATATTATACATATGTACTCAGTACTTGTCTGGGGGCACCACTTGCATGACTTACTGACTCAAAGCAGCGTGGCATGAATGCTATCAGCCTGTGTTATTGCTGAGGTGTTATGGAGGACCAAGACGCATTTATAACAGCCTTCAGTTGTTCTGAATCATTGACTCTCATTTTTCTCTTAGGGCTAACCCATAGATTCTCTAAGGTCAAGTTATAGTCCCATTAGTTGTCACACACACTGATGTGTGTGCGAAATTTGTTCTCTGCATCTGACACATCCCCTGGGAGAGCGGTGAGCTGCAGACACAGCCATGCTCAGGAACTATTTGGTGGTTTAACCCCCCAATCAAACCCCTTAATGCTGAGTGTGAAGCTGGGAGGCGTTGGGGTTCAGGTCACGCTAGTTTGCTGGACAATGAAGTCAGCATCTCCATAAAGCTGGTCTGCAAAAGGAAGAATGAAGTGCTCCAAATTTTTCTGGTGGAAGACTGCATTGACTTTGGACTTAAATCACAACGGACAAACACCAGCAGATGACATGGTTCCCAAAATCATTAGACTGTGGATACTTCCCTCAGCACTTCAAGAATCTGCTATTCTTCCAGACTCAGGGAACTTGTCTTCCAAATGAGATGCTAAATTGTCTCATCAGAAAGTAGGATTTTGGAACACTGTTGACATTGTTGTTCAGGAGCAACTTAACAAAAGGAATAGAACATTTGAGGCACATGTCCAGCATTTGTCTGTGTGTGGTGGCTCTTGATGTACTAACTCTAGCCTCAGTCCAGTTCTTGTGAAGGTCCTCATCAACTTTCCAATGGCCTTTCCAGACAACACTCTCCAGGGTCTCAATGTATCTGCTTTGATTCATAACTGGCCTAAAATCAAAATGAATTTGCAATGACCTTTGGAGGCTTTCACTACTTATGCAGGGATTCAATGATGATTTTCTTCAAAACTGCCTGATTGTGATTCCTACTGAAACAGACTGAGAGCCCATTTCATGGCTAAGGAATCTTTAGCAGGTGTTTTTGGATAATAAGCTGATTTGAGCAGTTTTCACAGCTGTTTTTGGAGATGCACAAGTACGTACCACTTTGAAACTCTTGCCATGGCCATGCTGTATCTTCAGACAGTATCGTTTCTATGCACAGGCACTCATTGCTTGGAACCATTTTGTTATATTCGTCGACCACTGACGTCTGGATTCTTTTCTCCTCTCTGATTTTGTGGCGACCCCTGGCTCGGCCTTTACTGCCATCTGTGTCTTTGTACAGACGTTGTGAACGCCTTTTGATGCTTGCCACAAGCCCCTCAATCTTACTTCCAAGATTAACTGCAGCTTCATCAGTCTTGTTGGATGTCTCTGTATAAAAAGCATGGAAGTTGGTAACTGCACACTGACATACCTATGTATGTAAAAAATATATAGTACACCATGCATTATAATTATTAGGTAATTATAATATTATAATATCTACCTTCTGCCCACTCCTTCACATCAGTTACCCACTCCTCCAACTGCTTGTCAGTTACACCCCACTCGGATTTTTGGGACTCCAGTGTTTCAAGCTGACTCTCGAGAGTTCTTGTGGTCTACAAGTAAAAACTGATATTGAATTCAACATACATAAACTATTCATAGAGGACAAATTGATGCCATTATTACTTTCAAATATCTGTGAGACAGGAAGACAGCCAAATTGGAGGTCTTTTGCTGATTCCAGCACATGGCCATTCGTGTCAGCATGTCTGAACGTCCTGCAACAGAAAGGGAGGCTGCTATCATTTTCAATACAATACAGTATACAATACAGTTTTGTGTAGACCAAATAAACCCGACAGATTAGAATTTGCCTTACAAATTATTTTGAAAAAGACAGCCCAGTTTTGAAATTGCCTTCTATGTATTCGTATGTACCAGTCTTTAAGAATGATGGAGAGAAGTATGAAGAAGGTTTGGAAAAGCCCTGGATCTAAAGCACAACATACATGTGAAACATGATGGAGGCAGTGATTACATGGGCATGCGTTGCCTCCGGTGGTACTGGAAGCCCTGTTGCAACCCGAACAGGCCTAGGAAACCCTGATGGGATGAACACAGCAAATAGATTGGGAGGGAAAGAACCAGAAGGCTCAAAACAATAATAAACCTTTTTGTAATAAAAAAGTTTATTACAAAATGTGTCCCAACCAAGATTAAAAACTCTCTAGTTGGGAGAAGACTTACCTAAGGTAAACAATGAAAAATAGAATAAAATAAAAACCAAGCAACTCAAAAAATATTCTTAACTACTATCAATTAAACTAAACTATCTTACCCAGGGTCAGTAGTTCATAAGGGAGAGACTAAATAACACAGAGCCCAAACCAAACATTTGCAACTCAAGTCCTCAAAAAAGGCTTAAGACTGAGATAAGTAACAAAATGATTTAGGATCACTAACACCGAGTCAATCTCCAACTGCAGCAATATCCCAATCCAAGTTTATCTCAGGGCCTTATGTCTTAGTGTGCAGCAACCTCCTGCTATCTGGTTCAGGTAACTCTTCTTGTTTACCTCTCAAAATCTTCCTTAGAGCTCTCTTGCTACATTTCTAGCCCCTCTGCTTTATCTCTATGCCTGTTTCTCCTCATCTGGCTACAAAAAAACCTGTCCTGAATAGGCTGCAGCTGAAGGGAGTTCAGGGAATGTCGCTCTTCATGGTGCTGAATGGAAGAACCCTAGCAGGTACGGTGTAGTGGAGTTGTCCAAGGTCATGAACTGGAGGCAGACTGGTGGTAAAACCAGGGGCCGTAGCAAGCAGTAGAGTATTTTTGGTCATTTAACAAAAGACACACATTAAGTGAACATGTAAATGTAGGTTCGGGAGCAGGACCACGACTCAACTACATCTCAAACACACCTCTACTTCAAGGTTTACCACATCTCAGCCACATTTGCTATCTTCACAAACATCTCCAGCTGTTTGTCTGTGTTCTCTCAAACACCCTCCCTTCAGGGTTATGTTTTTGTCTTCCAGTCTCCAGCTGCTCTCAAGTAGACTGTAGTAGGGGGGTCTCCAGTCAGCCGGCTATGCTATTCAGATACGGAACCCCCCATCCTGAGTCTGCTCATAGCCATCACCTTCCACACCTTCATCCATCACCGCGTGTTTTTATAAAGAACATTTCAGGCACTTCATGCGTGGTCCTTGCTAGTGAAATACTATATATTTATAGTAGATCTACATTATCTCACAAAAGTGAGTACACCCCTTACATTTTGGTTAGACAAGGCACACTGGACAGCAAATTTACACAAGTTGTACACCGACTAATTGCATGTTGTCATATGTTCCGATATTTCCCATAAACAGTTAAAATGACATATTTACAAAAACGTGAGAGGTGTACTTACTTTTGTGAGATACTGTAAGAATATTAAGAGAGAGATGCACCAACCAGCCTTTTCAGTCCTGATATCGATATTTGGGCTTTTTGGATCAGTTGATACCTGATATCCACCAATACTAATGCAAACACTAAAACATTGTTATATAACACATAATAAACCTCTAACATGATATAACTTGGAACAGAAAAGAACTCATAATGTGGAAATAATTTGTCAGTGGCAGTGTAAAAAGTTATGTAGTTCGCCACATTATTGCTCTGCTCATTATTTGGATAAAGTGCAGTAAATAATATAATATCCGGTATCAGCCATGTTTACCTCTCCACCAATCCAGCTACAAAGCCTGGATCGGCAACAACATCCAATACAGTACTGGTATTGGTGCATCCCTAATTAGAAATACCGTGTTTTCATACCTGCTTTTGACATATGCTTCGTGGTGACTGCAATGCGAGAGAGGAAGACATTGACCTGCTCCACTTCTTCACCCAGAGTTAGCCCCGCCCCTTCCTGATATGCTCCACTCCATTTCACCTGTTTCAAAAAGAAACTATGTAGAAACTTTTCACCTCTGACAATGATTTTTACAAACACACAGTATAATCATTTCACTCACTTCACATTGGAAGTTATGGGCTTTGGCATGAAACACAGAGAGGAATGGCTTCATATCAAGAAGAGGCTGTAGCTCTGGGCAGCTTTTGGCCAGCCTCTGGAGGTAAGGCCAATATTTGCAGGTCACATCCATGCAAAAAAAACTGCTGTTGGGCAGCTTTTGTTGCAAGTACAGGGGATACGCAAAAATTTCTCCCCTGTACATATTAAGGGCCCGCAGGAGCACTCCATGCCGGCACACTGCAAGCTCAAGGCCCTCCTCATCAAGCTTGCTGATAGACCTTAAGGAGGTTTCTCTGGCCGCCTGCCATTGACCACCACATTTACCTTTCCCAGACACCTAAATTTAACAGGATGAAAATATTAGAGCCTACCTCTACGTTACGATATTTTACATTTATACAGTAATTACAGTCCCATCTTACATGTTTTGCCTTGCTTTGAATGTGGTCCACAAATTGTGTAACGTCCTCATCGTCAGCAATAAAGACACCCTCAAAGATGGCCTTTTCCTCACATCTGTAAAAAGCAGAAATGTAAATCTATAATTAACTAAGACCTGTGATTTGTAATGTGTTTGATCTTTATGCTGACATTTTATTGTACCTGGCAGCATTATTAAAACGATAATGTTTGCGGTTTCCATCAACAGAGACCGCAAGCATCTCTGGGCTGCAGGCAGGACAGGCAAAGGGCTCTGATTTGCAGTGGCTGTCAACTTCCTATCTCACAGCCTCCCACTCAAAAAAACTTCTCATGAAGCTGTCTGCTGAGATCTTTCCAGTCTATTAAAAACATTTAAGAAAACATAAAAGAACTCTATTTCATACACTGTTGAGATCATTAAAAAAATATATACTCACACGACCAAAGCGAACGGTTCTTAGATCCAGCATTCTTATAAATGCCTGACAAGACAATCCGGGCGCTACCATTTTCATTTCTTCAAATGTGAAGAAAATATCACATGCAAAGATTGTTTCATAGTGCATGGTAGATGGCCAGAAGTAATTTTTTATCAGGTCTTCAATCAAAGCAGTCCATGTGGCATTGCACATCATGACGTCCTTTAAGAAAACATAAATGCAACATGAATTTCACATATTTTCTATTGTCAGATCACAAACACAATAGAAAAATATTTTGATGCACAACAATATACTTGTACCGTTCATAGTGATCACAGCCACAACCTTTCCGGCACTGAGCTTCAAGTACTCAGCTGGACAGCTGCAGATTTTGGAAGGGACCTCTAGAGGTACAACTCGTTCTAGAAAAAATAAGTTCATGTTATATATGTATATACTAACAAACTGTGTGCACAATAACAGCATGTATGCTCAAAAAGAACTCACCACAATGACAAAGAGCTTCATTTATAATAACTTTGGTTGGGGGCAATGGCTCAAAGAATCCTCCTATAGTGGCCTCTCTATTGTGGAATGGATGTTGGCTGTGTGCATTTAAATCACATTCTCCACAGAGGAACGGCCGTGGACGACAATCCCGACACCGGATAGCAGCTGCATTGCTTTGACACTCCTGGCACAAGTTGGGTTCCACTTTCTCCTTTGATATCAGGGTATTGACTAAATAAGGCCTCACAGATCTCCAGTTTTCCAGCTCTCTCATTTTCCTTAAGCCCCAGTTTGCTGATGTCACAGTGGGAACCACTGGGGATACTTCTTCAGTCTCAACATCAGCAAATGAATGCTGGAGGTCCCGCATGAACTCGTCTGATGAAATTAGAGAACAAATGATGTTCACTGTTCAGATAATGTTTAAAATTTATCTGATCTTATACATATACTAATACACAAATCAAACATATGAAATAACACTAGTGGATAAAGAAAGAAAAACATACCACATGTCTCAGGAGCAAAGACAACATCAGGAGCTGAGACAGATGCTGAGACAGGAGATGAGACCGTGTCAATCAACAGACTGTGACCAGCTGTTATCAAAATAAAAATACTAATGATACTCATATAATGAAACTAAACTTTTCTGAACATTACCAGCACATTATTGTGATCAATAAAATTATATAGTATAACATAATACAGTTGTGGGCACTGTGTGTGTGTGTGTGTGTGTGTGTGTGTGTGTGTGTGGTGTGTGTGTGTAAATAAAGGTTGACAAAAAATTTGTTTGCAAAGCATTGTTATAAGCCTTTGGATTGGGTTAGGTTGAGTTTAGTTATATTTAACCCTTCCACTGTCTTCATGGGTGACCCCGCCAGGAAAGTTGACCACTGAGCAGGATTGATGGTTTATCATCGGCACGTCGTATTTATCAGCACTACCTCACCCCTGCCACGTGGACCTCAAGGGGTGAACCATCAATCCTGCGCAATGGTCAACTTTCCTGGCGGGGTCACCCATGAAGACAGTGGAAGGGTTAAGGAAAGAACAATGCTCACCCTGAGTGCACTGGTTCCTTAGTGCCCGTGGTCTCCTGTGGATGAGGTTTCCACCACTGTTTCTCTTCTTCCACCTCACTGTTGGCATCGGTGCTGCAATTGGTATTGCATTTTTCTCATTTTGCAGCTGACTGAGGAAGTCATCGGCGTCTTTTAGGTCCTCAGTGACCTCACCCTCAACGCTCTGCAGTAAATCCTGCAGCTCACTCAATGTTAATGAGGAATACTACTCACACACACACACACACACACACACACACACACACACACACACACACACACACACACACACACACACACAGACAGAACAATTATTACAGTACACAAACTAAACAGTCAGACACAGAAGACGAAACCAAAGGAAAACAAGTGTGACAAACAGAAGACAAATTACGAAAAATAGACGTGGCTCTAAAAAGTGCCTTTGTGTTGATGAAAAGTTGGGGTTCAAATAGATCAAAATGACAGCAGCTGTTGAAAGAGAAAACAAATGTCGGTTGCAGATCAAAGTCTGACACGGTAAAAGTTTACATGTTAGCTTAGTTTACATGTTATCTGGATTTTCTTTAAATACCTTATTCTTAAAATGTGATTGAAAATTATACACGCGTATTATAAAGTGTACATATAATGATGAGAACGGCATTTTAAAGTGTTTTTGTGTAATCAATCATAACGGATTAGAAAATGTTCTACTTACCGAAAGGAGAATAAATGGAAAGACCGGAAGACCAGCTTACGCGGGACCTGTCGCATTCTATCACGTGATATAAGCACGTTTGTAAATAATTGTGTATTTAGATTGAAAATTTATTTAGATGAAAAATAATTATATTATATGTAGCGCTATATTACAACAGTCAATAAATAAATTGTTTTGGTTAAAAAAGGAGCCTATGTCACGCCCATCTACTTCCAGACCAGTCACTTTAAAATGTATTACTGTACTGTAACAACTATTTGAGATTTAAAATTTAACAACCGAGTGGGTTACAGAACTGTCAGAAACAATAAAACTCGTTTCTTGACGTAAAACCAGCTTATTACTACTAAGTGCTTCTTCTCTGCCGCAGCCGAGCATTGTGGGAAACGCAGTTTGTTATGCTTGCCATACCGCAACAAATAAGTTTATAAACACGGCTTATACTGACAAATAAATGAAAATTGTTGTCTCGAGCAGTTAAATAAACATGCCGGTGTTTTATAACTATTGTAAATAAATCGATTCTCATAGATGACGTAGATGACTCGTAGTCACGTTCAGAAGTCCACACAATTTATATAAATGTAAGCATAAGCTGCCGCAAAGTCCGTGTTTAAATGTGGCTCCACAGATGTCAGAAAAATACTCAAAGTTATCCAAACAATAGGGAAATATGCGTGTTCAGTGCAGCGCAAGAGAACATCCAAACTCGTCACTGTGTCGCTGCACTGGGATTTGCATTAGAATCAACGGAGACTCCTTTTTGTCACATATGTACGAAAAAGGGCACTTTCTGCGTTGGTATCTGACGCAGAAAGTGAGTGACCAAGCGTTTGTTTCCGACGCTTAGGGTGTGAGAACGTGTTGTTCTGACGGTAGCGTCATTAGATTTTATTTCTGACTAGACTGTGATTATATTTGACGGCTGTTTTTTACAGTATGATTAGATTTTATTTTTGACTAGGCTGTGTGATTTTATTCATTATATTTGACGGCTGTTTTTTAGAGTATGATTAGATTTTATTTCTGACTAGAGTTTAGATTATATTTGACGGTTGTGTGTACAATTTATGAAATAAAAAGAACTAATGAAAACAAATATGCATCATTTTTGCCAACCATTCATCAGAGATGGAGGAGGTAATGAAAAAGGTTTATTTTTCACCAGAACATCAGGGTAGTTACGGTGGTGTGGAAAGGTTTAGAACCGGTTTACAACGAGAGATTGGGGAGAAAGTTTCATCGGATAAGGCTCGCGATTTTCTCTCAGAACAAGACGCTTATACACTCCACAAACCTGCAAGAGTTCATTTTCCGAGAAATAAGGTTTTTGTCTCAGGGCCGCTAAAACAGTTTCAAGCTGACGCGACATGCAGGCCTTGTCAAAATCAAACGACGGCTTTAATTACCTATTAACCGTCATTGATGTATTTTCAAAGAAAGCCTATGTACGAGCTCTGAAAAACAAATCGGGGAAAGATGTTACTGAAGCTTTTGCTTCAGTTTTGAAAGACAGCGGTGTCCCTAAAAAATTGCAAACGGATTCTGGTAAAGAATTTTTTAATAAGAAATTTGAAGCCCTCATGAAGAAACACGAAATTGTGCATTTTGCCACAGCCAGCAGTGTAAAGGCCAGCGTTGTGGAGAGATTTAACAGGACTCTAAAAGGTAGAATGTGGAGATATTTCACAGCCAAAAACACCCATCGCTACATAGATGTGATTCAAGATTTGGTGAAAGGTTATAATCATAGTGAAAATATACGTATCTACCTTATAAGCTTCACGTATCCACCTTATAAGCTTCTTTTATATATTTACCTTATAAAGCTCAGTTGTATTACTCTATGATATGTACACTTGCTTAGATGGTCAAGGCCTCTACACAAAGATTTACAGCAGCATGTTCTGTTCTGCAACCTTGTAGGGAGCGAGCACATTCCAGCTCCTCTCTGTACCGGTGAAATGTATCTCCATGTATCAGGATGTTCCTAGTAATCTCAAGGATGCATGTTCTCGTGATGAATTCACTGTCCACTAACAAGGCTGTTATTCTTTACCTGTCATAATCATTGACGTATGTACATGGCAAACTACGTATGTAACATTCCTGTACTCTTCAATAAAAATCAGCCGTTTCAGCAGAACGGCGAGAGTCTGTCCGGGGCGGCTGACGGGAGCAGGTCGCGGGACCTGCTGTTGCGGAGGCTCTCCCCCTCATGAGCGGTGAAAAAGTGAATGGACTTCTGATCATTTGTCTCCACATTCTGCCAACTCAAAAGGTGTTTAACTCCATCTTCTCCGTACCCGTGCTTGGTCTAACAGAAGAAAGACCAACAAATTTGGCGTCACGAACAGGATTTTTTCTTTTTGAAGAAAAAGGAGTTTTTGGAGGACAATTTGACCAACCGACCCAGTGAACGATCTTGGCACAGAACACCGCGGTGGAAAACAAGGTGAGCAGAACCTTATTTCTAAAAACTGCTCATTGGATTTATCCAAAGCCTTTGTGTCCAGAATCATAGTAGCTGTGGTCCTAAAATAATAGTTGGAGAAGAAAGTGGAGACAAGTGCAGAAAAATAAGAGATTTTTTTTGTAATGGTTTAATGGTGAAATAAGATAAGGATTTTTACAATGGTTTAATGATAAATGAGATAAGGAAATAGTACAGAAGAAGGGTTGGAGGCCCAGGGTTATTAGAGAAGCCCTAAATTCCATTTTCCAGGTCGTGGCTGACCACACTATTTGCTGACGAGTGAATAGAAATATAACGAGGTTATATAAGAGCTTGGCGAAGAGTCCATAGGTGTGGGAACCCTAAAAGTCCACAGGTCGAGGACCTGGTTTGTGTTGAGGCCCTGGGAGGCTAAAGAGAGCTCCCTAAAGCACAGGTCGAGGACCTGGTTCGGGTTAAGGGCAGGGGAGGCTAAAGAGAGCTCCCTAGATTTTAAAGGTCGAGGACCTTTTGTATGAGATGAGAAAAATGTTCTAAGGTAACTGTTTTTGCATAAAATAAGCAATGTTTAAAATATGACAAGCAGCCCAGTTGAAGCCACGAGAAATGAGGTTTTATTGAGAAAGTCAGCAGAAAAGGCGATGAAGGAAAAGGGGTAGATGTTAACAGTAGAGGTAACTGGAGTAAGATTTGGGAAGTGAAGGCTGCAGAATCGAGAGAAAAAGGCACAGCTGTAGACAAGCTTCACTGTGTGTGTAAGCTGAGTTCAGCCTGTGTGTGTGAGGTGCAGCAAGAGGCTGCTTACGGCTCTGGATTGAAAGTGCAGCACTAGGAGAGTGCAGAATGCAGAGCAGAGTTTTGGGAGCTCCGTGTGTGTGTGTGTGTGTGTGTACAGCGCTGGATGGTGTGTGTGAAGGCCTGATGCGGTACCAGAAAAAAAAAAAAAAAAGATAAATAAGAGCTTTAAAAAGTTGCAACTCGTATATGTAAATTACACTGCAGTGCTAAAATTAATGTTTGGAGCTACGCAAAATTCAAATTCTGCAACCCTGTTCTGATCAGTCTTTGAACAGAACACCATAAGTTAATAAATAAAAGGGTTTTAAAGTAACATATGTGTATGTATGTGTGTATGTATGTATATGTGTATACATATATATACATATGTAGTGTACAAGCGTGATAATCATTTGTGTGCGGAGCAGCATGTGAGGGACCCCGATCTGGGGGTTAAGTGGCCTGGAGATTAAAAAAAAAAAAAACAATAAGAAATGCAAGTAAGGTTGTATATGACAGCTTTTTTTCAGAAATATATGGATATACATATACATAAAATCAGATAGCTGCTAAACAGTAAAATCAAAACAGATCTGCAGAAAATAAATATATAAACTATTCCTCAGAGCGCTCTCAAAAAATTGCAATTGGATTTGCTCTAATGTTACATAAGGCCTGCTTGAAAGCATAGTAAGCATTAAATTCTGAAAATAACCAGTGCAGTGTTAAATAAATTCTGTGCTTAAAATATTATATATATAGAGAGAGAGAGAATAAATAAGTGACGGACTGACTTACTTTAAAAAAAAAAAAAGGACTGTGACAAACAAAGAATGTCTCTGTGCCTTGTGAATGAGTGAATGCGTGTCTTCTTGCATGAGAAGTAAATGCTGCTTTCGCTGGATCTTCTCCTGAAATGACTCAGTTTTTAATAGAGGGAGCAGCTGCTTGAGAAACAGGGTGCGGTCCATGTTTTTGCTAGACGGTTATTTAGTTCAAGAGACTGTGGAAACAATAGAAAAAGAATTTATCGTTAGTGTGATGACAAGTAAATCCTTTAAAATACAAAAGTTGCATGGTTGTGGTTATAAAGGAAGTATTTTGTCTGATTATGGGCCGTGGAGTCAGCTGGACTCCCTCGCTCTCTCTGTTT